TAGGAAATGGACACAGAGAAATGAAGACCATGGTAGAGAGCCATTCTGTGTACTGAACCTGTGGTTGAGATTACTTAAAATCTTTTCTGGTCTTGGAATTAGGTAGTTTAAAAATCTGTTACTTTTCATTTTCTTTATTGTTCCCTATGTCCTTTCTTATGGGTGGGGGGAGACAGTTCATTTATTCACGTAACTGACATTTTCTGATCCCTGTTACGTACCAGGTACAGAGCTGTGTGCTGAGGATACAGAAATATTCATACAATAGTCTTACCGATTTAAGCACATAATATCATCAAGGTGACTAGGTCTGATTAGTAGTTTGAAATTTTACCAAAAAAAAATGTGGCATAAGAAACAATAGGATTTATTAATGTTTTTCCCTCCTATAGCTAATAATGACTTATACATTGTAGGCATCTGATAAAATTTTACTGACTATAAATAAGTATAAAGGTATGATACATAAGTGTGTATGTATGTGTATAGGTTTTGTATTTCTGTGGTACTATATGTGCTGTTAACTTTAGTCACATAGTGCATGATTCTTTTAAATTCAGGAGCATACTTTCAGAAAGTTGAATTGTTTTTAATGTAGTTCAAATGGATATTTTTGAGATAGCACTGCTATCTCTAGAATATACATGTTCACAACTTAAGATGCTGAATGTAAACTTGATAGGAAAGAAGACTAAAATGAATTGCTTGGCTAGACTTCATAAATTTTATTTGCATAGATATTTATAGAATATTTGAGGCTAAATTCAGATTCTTCAGTGTCACACACACAAATGCTACTCAATTTTTATGGAAACTAAAAGTGTTAATGGTTAAACCATATTTGATTTTCAGAATGCTAAGCTGTAGGGCATTAGGAATCCATGTTTTCCTAAATCTGACTAAAAGTTCAAGCCAGAGGGGCATAAGGTAGAGGAATTTTGTGTTTTTCTGAATTATCCCAGGAATAGTGTTCTCTGGGAAATCCGAGGGAAGTATAAGTAAGGGCCATTTTTTCTAAAGACTGACATTTTGCAGTATGTCATATGTATGTGTTGTGTTACAAATTACATGGTCATTGTTTTGAAATTCATAGACCTGTTTCAACATCTGGTTTTTAGGCCACTTAAGTGTGGGCCAGCAAGAAGGTTAGTCATTGTAGGATGTTTGAAATGAGCTGTAATGATTTCCAGGCCCAGAGAAACCTCTGTGCTGCAGCTGTGTATCAGAGAAGGTGATGGAAGGATGCCTCTTCATATGATCTGTGTATAAGGCTGAATCTTATATCATTTCTCTAGTATGGTTATCATCATATGGCCGTCTTCAGAATCTTAAAGGCATCACAGCTAACAAGAATTGGTATTAGGATGAGAGGGGAAAGAGGGTTATAAATGACAGATTGAGATAATTGACCTTAGTTATTTTTATGTAAACCCAATTTGTAAATCCGTTACAAAGAGGCCTCTTTCTTTTTTTAATAAGGGTACTATTCATGATAATATTCATTTGTCATAGTAATTATTTTTGAAAATGATACTGGAGAGTCAGTCACCTTTACAGAAAGGGTCTGCTTCTAAAAAATCTAGCATTCAGTTGACTGAACCTGGGGAGCCTGCTTGCTAGTTGCCACTTATTGAGGGCCTACTACTGTGCCAGGCACTTTGTAACTGTTATGCCACTTCACCAACAACCTTGAAAATGATTGTTGCCAGTTTTACAGATGAGAAAGCCAAGGTTCAGAGAGGTTAAGTAATTTACCCAGGTCACACATAGAGTCACTAGTAGAATCAGGTTGTGATCCTTGGTCTACTCTGTACTGCTTGTCCTATCACATTGTATTTCAGGTGACATGCTTCCAATGTCCAAATGCAAAAGTACATATTTATGGTTAGAAAAATGTGTATATTCACAGATACACATACAGGCATATGTGTATATATAAATAGGTATACTTTAAGTAAAATTTGTAAATGTGTAATGTATTTCAGGCAGTGAAAACTTGGTCAGCAGTAGGCATTGTTAGGTATAGCACTACTGAATCACTGCTTTTGGTAGGAGATGATAATTAAGCTTTCTCTTTTATATGGCTTCATCTGATATTGTGTCCTGTCTTACTCAAATGCCTTAACATCTTGATGCGTCATGCAGATTACTGACTTACATTAGATCTTTCTAGAAACCAAAGCTGTTTATTTAGTGCTCTAAAAGATACTTTTATTTCCAAGGGAGTTTCTGATAGGTTATGGAAATTGTTGACTTCTGTGCTGAAACACCCCCCCTCCCCCCAAAAAAAGGCTTGAAGGATTAAGAGAAAGATGGAGAGAAGAATATAAGTGAAGAGACATGAAAAGAGGACAGATCTAGGGAGGTTAAAAGAAAAAAAAAAAAAGACTACCGTCTAATTCTAGCCATCAGTCCCTGTTTCGGCAGTTCATTCTATCCAAAATCAGGAAATGGAAGTGCGCCTAGGTATATGCACTTGTTGCTGTCAGCCATGTGAATCCCCCCATCCCTAGCCACACACACATTCCCCTATAGTATGTCAGACTATAAGTTTGTCCACGGGTAGTGTTTTGCCTGCATTTTGTGTGGATATTGTAGAAGTTGCTCTGCTGTCCCTTTCTTTATGTCTGTACCTCTTCCTTGGAAGCATGCACTCTTCATGTGATTGAAAAACTTAAGCACCTTCATCTACTTTCCACTCTCTAGCCATTGTGAATTGAATATTTTTATTATTTGTAAAATCTTAAGCACACAAAGATTCTAAAAGAATTTTGGTTAGAAATCAAAGATATACAAACATGCTTTTAATTTTAAAAGGAATAAAAGAAGATGAGGCTGATTAAAATTTAAATCTGTTATAGCTCCTAGTTCTTGGAAGGAAAAAAAAAAACTAGTATATACAATTTCTACTCTGTAACAACTGTGAAAGCACAAAACAAAATTGGACTTTTAACGTGTAATTATTACATGTTTTATATTAGATGTAGTGCTAGTTGGGAATGGCATTGTTTTCTTCTCAATTCAATAAATATTTTGCACCTATTCTGTGTAAGATGCTAATAACAGTGTGAGGTCCTCTGGTTTGGTCTCAGATCACATCCCTTGTAGTCTGAAGTTATTCAGAATTAAACAGTCCAGTTGTCATGAAAAGTTTTTATTCCAATTTCAGTGATGAAGAGCGATACAGATACAGGGAGTATGCAGAAAGAGGCTATGAGCGCCACAGAGCAAGTCGAGAGAAAGAAGAACGACACAGAGAAAGACGACACAGAGAGAAGGAGGAAACCAGACACAAGTCCTCTCGAAGGTTTGCTCCTTTATAGTGAATCACTTTGAAGCTCAGAGAAATTGATTTGACTGCAAAAAGTTAAAAACCTCTCCAAATAACTAGTAGAGCATATGTGTTCCTAATTGGAAGATTAAGAGTAATGTGTTGAAATAGTTGGTTCCTTAGAGGCTCATCAAAATTTTTAAATCTAAAAAGACCTCATTTAGTACTCATGGACTTATTACTATCTTGTTGGGAGAGGGGAGGGGTTTATTTAGCCTATGAACCAGTAATACTAATATTTAAAGAAAATTCAGGGCCTCATAGTCTAAAATTGTATGCCTGTTGTTTGTTGGTTTAGGATCAACCCTAGACAGTGTTTCCTGTTCCGATTTAGTGCTTCAGTTTCTAATTTGTAATAGTTTTTCAGGATAAAGTATATGGGGTCTGAGAATCTAGGATAATAACAGGTGCAGGTGAACCTATACTGTACATACAATCTCCATATAAAAGTCACATACCTGGTTACTCCTCAAAGTGTGTTTGAGAAAAAGAATTTATTTAAAACCCAGTGTTATATTGGGAATTCACCTTAGACATAGTAGGTTGATATTTCTTATCTCGTGCGTACTTAAGAACACAACTTTTTTTCCTTTTCAGTAACAGTAGACGTCGCCATGAAAGTGAAGAAGGAGACAGTCACAGGAGACACAAGCACAAAAAATCTAAGAGAAGCAAAGAAGGAAAAGAAGCAGGCAGTGAGCCTGCCCCTGAACAGGAGAGCACCGAAGCTGCACCTGCTGAGTAGGCATGGCTATGGCCTGTTGTGTATATTAGGGCCAGAAATGTACCATAAATCTTGTTATTTTTCTGGATAATGTTTAAGAAATTTACTTTTAATCTTGTTCTGTTAGTATGAAAAGTTAACTTTTTTCTCAAAATAAAAGAGTAAATTTTTCATGTTAAGTTAAAAATCTTTGTCTTGTAATATTTAAAAAAAATAAAGACAGCAATGACTTTATATCCAAGAAAGTAATGTGAATGAGTCACTCAGCAGGGAATTTTAAAGAGCTATGTACACACACAGTATCTGATAAAGGTTAAGGTTTCACCTTGGCCATAGTTTTCTTGAGTTAATCAAATACCAGTCTCAAGAGGTTGCACTGCAAAAGGGCACCTCTGGGTCTTGAGATTAAAAGTAGTCTTTATCAATACTGCTGTGGCACTCTTGCTTATTGTATTAAAGTACCCGTATACAGTTTTGATATCACAACTTTTTGATAGGTTTTCAGTGTTCTTAATTTGGGTTCATGGTATAACTAAAGAGGGAACTTTTATATCCAAATTAGTAAAATCTAAAGGCATTTGGCTGGTGTCTGCAAAATAACTTGCCCTAAGGGTAGTTTTTATAGCAGGCACGTGGACAAACACGCGTCACTGTGACACAAACTTGAATTGTCTCATGGCTGTTTATGAGCTGGGGTCAAGCTGGTTTGGCCTTTCTTGATGCTTTTTCCAAAGCTCATTGGATGAGCAGTATGTGGAGGTTTTATACAGTTACTAGCTAATTGTGAAGGAAAAGGACAAGAGCTTTAGATTAGTCCTCTCCTATTAAATCTAAGAAGACAAGTTTATAATTCTGTGAGCGTTTTTAGGGATAAGCCTTAGGATGTATTTGTGAGCGGTGGTAACAACATGGTTTTGAAAGAATGAATTACTAGGATCCTTTAAATAGCGATAATTGAAATGAATTTAATGTCGTATACTAAAAGACAACCATAATTTGAAAAATATTTATTTCTCATTTGATGAACATTTTCAACAGTGCACTTTTAAAATCCTCTGGCTGTAAATTGTTTTTCTAAATGCCCATAATATACCCTTTACAGACCTCAGCATATACCAAATTTTTAATTGTAGGATTTGAATCCAGTGGGGGGATACAAATGATCTCAGCCTTTTAAGATCTTTTTAATGAATAGAAAAATATAAACTTAAAGTTGTGGAGTAATGAGAAATCTTCCACACTGAATAAAAGCTATTCAGATTTATGTTTTGAGTATTACATTTTCTGAGGTGTAATTGGCTTTCATTGGATCATACTTTTCCTGACAAGAGTTTACATTTTTACAGTGTACCCTTTAAATATAAAAATTGACAAGATAAATACATTGTTTCAACTTAGCTTATCTGTAGTTTTCTGTTTTCCTATGACCCATCACTGATTCTATAAAAAAGTGCCAGGCCAAGAAACAATAGTAAGAGTAATCTTTCCTTTAAGTTCTTTCAGCATCCTTGCCAAGCAAGCATGTATCATTCCTGATGTACTTCTACCATTGACAGCCAGAAGAATATCTCCGCATCTAAACAACATAAAACACCACATGATTAACATTTTGATCCATAGCTGAAGTCAATGCAAGTGTATTTGGTGGTCTCAGTTTTTGCTCCATCTGTCAATTTTAATTACATAAATTTCTAATTAAATTCTGCAAACTATTTGGCTTCTGTTAGAAGTTAGAAAGGACACTAAAAGCCTAGGAAGTTGCTGTATGGGACCAAAGAATTCTTAGAAATTGAATGCTATGTAAATGTTTTTCTTACCGATAAAACACAGTATATAATACATGTGTTACTTCTAATGGGGCCAAACTTTTGCATATATAAAACAAAATATTGGTAATAAGTCGTCATTATTACCTAATTCTTCCATCATTGTATGCTGGTGTTCCTTCGACAATGGATTTAATAAAAAAAGGTTTATTCCCATTATATTCTTCATAACCTCCTACAATGCAGAAGCCCAGACTTCCAGCTGTGTTTCTTCGTAATATAACATCTTTACAGTTATACAGGTACCTGAAATAGAATGTGTAAGCAGTATATCTGCAGTTAGGTTGAACTCTAAATAATTATTCTGATTCATCTCCCATTCCCTTTATTGACATTTTTTCAGGCTAAATAGTGGAGGGGTTCTTAACTCAAAACTGTCATAGCCAAGTGACCTTTGTGCTACGAGCGGGCTTTTTCTAGTTGAACTATTTTCCATTGCCAAACACCCTTTAAAAAATATTATATTCTGCTTACATGTTTACTGGGAAAGATAATCATATTTTTGGCTTAAAGATTTAATGCTTCAATTTATATTAAACAAGTTGGATAGGCCTAAATCCTTATTGATGAACCAAATTCAAACATACTTAGCAATATCATATCTTTATTTACTTGTGAATATAATGAAAGCAAAAATCCTTTAAATGATTAATCTCAGTGGCAAAAAAAATTAATGCATTTGCCAGAGTTTTGACTTTCGAAAAACACCAGTTTAAATGTAGTTTCACGTGTTTGATAGGTTATAGAGAAGCATGCAGGCATAAGGTGAATGGAAATTGAGGTACATTTAAAGATAAGAATTATTCATAATGGAAAAAAAAATAGTAAACTGAATAGGAAGTTACAGAAGGAATGGGAGAAGGAGAGGCCACAGGTCTTCTGTAAGTGAATAGAATCTTCACCTAAGGTAGAAGACGGAAACACTCAATATAATTCAGTGGCAGCTGGATCAGTGTTCATCTATGTACAAGCCAAGTGTAAACTGTTACAGTTGTGACAAGTGGTGGTGGTGTCAGGAACTGGATTTAACTAAAATCCCCCAGTTCAGGAACTGGTTTTGGAAGAAAAATCGGCATTTTCATACTGGTAAAACTCAAGATATTGTTTTGTTTATAAGCTGTACCTTAAAATAGTAACTGCTTTTTGAAAAACCAATAAAACGTCTCATGAAAGGTTTTGTTAAGTGATGTAGTTGGTCTTTACATTTGTTCCTTGATAATCCATGTAACATGATTTTTCATGGTGTTGCTGATTGCAACTTGAAATAAGCTTTGGTTTTGGGGGATAACTTTAAAAAGTAGTCGTGAAGTTCAACTCGATTTTGTTTTGTATCTCTTGTCACAAATAATTTATAATCAGTCTCACTGATAGCTGAAAAATGATTTTCATTAAATAAAGCAACTATTTTGATTGTAAATTATTCATCAGCTATATTTCACCGATTTGATGTAAGTAATAAATTCATCCGGTAGGAGATACCATATTTTACATAATGGTTCACTGCTCATACACAAAGCAGGTAATTGGCAGTTCTCCAAACACCAGAGCATTACATTCCTATACTCAATATTTAAAGGAAAGCACATGAATTGGTTGATTCTTACCCAAGGTCATGAGCAAATATCTATCTTAATACTTCCCAGCCATGATTCCTTAAAACAGAAATGGGTACATAGAACAATACTTTGAAACAAGTATTTACCCTTCCATTGTCCATTGAGTTTTTACATTGAGTATCACCTTGGACTTTACATTGGTCCTTACTGGGTATTTTAATTCATGTGGATAAGCTGTAAACCTCAGCATCTAAAATTTATTATGTTCTAGTATAAAATTTTTAATATTGAGTCACAAATTGTGTCTATTTTCCTAGACTCTTGATATTGGGGATGTTTACTGAGTGTACCACACTCTAGGCACTTGGTAGATCGGTGAACAGAACAGGTAAAAACCCTGCCCTCTGGCTGTGCATTCAAGTGGCTAGCAGTGTTACTAGTATTTTTTGCACTAGGTGCTTTCCTTCCTTTGGAGTATTTCAACTTCATTGTAGCAGCAAGAACTCAGTAAGTTAAACCCTTTCAAAGTCAGACCTTGGTTAGTTGGAACCAATGTGTACTCGGGCATTGGTTTTTTTCAAGCTGAATTACTTCACTCCCCATTGGGAAATGTGGAAGCTGTCTTTGGTTGACAATGTTGAGGATTTACCTTTGAAATATTAAGTGACTTTAAATTCTAAATGTGAGCTTTTTTTCCTATTCTGAACTCATTCTCTAAATTTAGGCCTCATTGAAGGAGAGTTGGCATAGTTTAAAGAATAGCAAGGAGTTTAGTAATTTTCCTCCAATAAGAAAGTTATGGTTACTTCAAAGATCAACTCCATGTTAAGGACTATGGTGAAGTCTTAGGTTGCTCAAGAAGCTGTATATTTTTCTGTTTCAACTGGCTGTTCCTTCTCCATCTCCTTCAAAGATTCCCCTTTTCTCAAAGGACCTCAGAATTTCACTGAGCCCCTACACTAACAAAGTGGGGTTCTCAAAAATACCTTTCAGGGAGTGTAGAGGTGAAAAAATGCTTTTATCTAAGAATGAGACATGATCTGCCTTTTAAAAAAATTCCCATTTTCTAATAAGCATTTAAACTCAGACAACACACAATAGGTGACCTGGCAACAGACTGAATGCAGAAGTAGATGGAAGAGTCCAGTTATCTTTTGTTCAAGCCATACGTTAAAGAGGTTGGTAAAAAAAAAAAAATGTTGCCACTTTTCTCACTAATTCACTCTAAAGTCGTTCCCAAAGCACCCTCTGCCTGCATAACAGTAATACATATTAACTCATCTCTCCTCTAGTCATACTAGTCCAGATGACAGCATGTTTTGAAAGACTTCCAGATGTGGAGTTTGGGCCTGCAAGCCAGCAGAAAACAAAGCAGAAGGTCTTCAGTGATTTCTGCATCCCCCCCACCCCCTTCAATTGAATGGCACCTGATAATCTGTATAGCTTTGAGACAGTATCTGGAGCTCCTGCCCAGGGGTCACTCCCGGCACAGAAGGCACCGCTAATAAGGGTGAGATATATTTGCAATGTCCTTTATCACCCACTTTTACTCTCTCTGCTACTGCTTATATCTGACACCCACTGGTTGAAGACAGGCAGCCACTGGTTCAGGGTATGAACACTATCTTCTTCATGTATATTCTTTTCTGTGTGTTGGACTGTACCCGAGGGCATGATTACAATGTCCTAGAAATGGATTTCCTGTTTCTAGACCTGCTGATACCATGTTTCTTCATTGGTAGAGAATCTTAGGTAACTGACTGGATCCTACTTTAGGGCAAATAGGTTTCCTCAAAATCTGTTCGTTGAAAGGGGAAAATGTTTTTGAGTAAATGTATAACTGGGAGGGAAATGCTCTGGTGAATTTTTTTCAAAAATATCTATTTTCAGGCTCAGTCTATAGCAGTTCAGACAAGTAACTTTTGCCGAGGTATGATAAATGGCTGAAATTCTTAGGACATCAGTCATGCCAAATGTATTGAGACCTTTAGGCCAATGGTATTGCATCAATTGAGGAGAAACTGGGGTCTTTGAACCTCTCTGCCGTCAAGTTTAGAGATGTGAGTGCATATTACCATCCATAAAAATTGTAGCAGTGTTATGACTGAGTGCTCGCATCCTGATACCAGCTGAGGGCCTGATCCAGGGACATAATGGAGTATTAAGGATGTCTGAAAAATGCCAGGATGGACATACTTGTAGTTTCAAAATGTCAGAGTAAACATTATGTTTCCCCTTCTGCTTTTAAAAATCACTGTAAAGGCACCTAGGAGACTTGGAAACAGAAATGCAAACTCCATCTGAAAACAAAACTGGGTCATGGCATTTGAGGGAGAACCAACTGCCAGAGGCAGTGGAAGAGAAGGTGTCCGCAGCTGGAGCCCTGGGGCCTGCAGGGAGCGGCCCACTCAGGCAGGACACCCACTCCCACAGGGCAGGCAGGCTGGTGTTTGCAAAGGAGGACACAAGTGAGACAACGAAAACCCCAACAAGATAACCCGTTACATCCAGGGAGTATCCTGGCTGGAGGAAGGGATGCACCTGGACTGCTGATCTTGGTCTGAGAGAAGTAAAGCAACACAACCCTGTGTCATAAAGAGAAGCTTCTGCCACTTGGAAGATGGCCCTGGTTCCTTCCTCCTTGTGAACCTCCAGCCAATAGCTGCTCCAGGAAAAACTGACCTAACTCAGAGATTTAAAAAGAACTAGCAAACAGACACTCAGGACAACAGAAAAACGGAAAGGAACAGTGAAAACAGCAACACAGAAACCACTTGCCAGAAAAATGCTGCCACAGGAGTGAAATGCTTCTAGAGAAAATGAAATTTATAACCCAACCACCTTACCGTGAATTTAAAATAGTCCTGAAACAATTCCTCTATAAACCAGAGATCCCCGCAGAGATGTAAGATTTCCAGGAAGATAGGAGACAAGAGAAGAAACGAACTGACAGTAGAAAGACAAAGAAGGGAAGAATAAAAGCCACCACCAAAATGAAAGTAGAAGCTGGAAAGGACAAGCCATAGTAATGAACATGGAGGGCAGACCAGAGTAAGCAGAGGAAACAAAGGGAAATAAACAGTTGAGAGGAGTCAAGAGAATGCAAGATGTGAAAACAAAAGGTAAAGACATGTTTGGAAGAACCCAAATAATCAGTTATTTTGAAAATCAGGTGAAGGGATGCCTGGGGGGGCTCAGTGGTTGAGCATCTGCCTTCAGCTCAGGGCGTGATCCCAGGGTCCTGGAATTGAGTCCCACATCAGGCTCCCTGCTTCTCCCTCTGCCTGTGCGCCTTTCTCTGTGTCCTAAATAAATGAATAAAATCTTAAAAAAAAAAAAAAAAAAACCTGAAAGGAAAATCAGGTGAAAAAGGACAAGCCATGTATACAGAGGAAAAGATGAGATGGGCCTTGCACTTGACCACACCACCTCTCGATGCTCACCAACATGATGTGAAGCCTACTCAGTCCAAAAGAGGGTGACCCAGTAATCTTATAGCCTGCCACACGGCTGTGCAGATGCTCTGTAATTTCTGTAACGAGCTCGACGGCTAGTGGAGCTACCCCTGTATGACCCTTATGAGGTCTTATGACAGCATCGTTTGTGAAAGCAGAGATGGAAAACAACTGAGGGTTCACTACTCATAGGAACTGTTTCAATGACTATGGTACATCTGGATAACAGAACACTACTCAGCCATAGAGAAGAGACACAGCTTGATATATGCCCATGTGAAATAACACCCAAAGTGTATTCTTACGAATAAAAAAAAAATCATGGTACACAGTAGTGTGTATGCTATGTGTGTGTGTGTACATATAGACCTGGACCGGGGGCCAGCAAACCGCAGCCCAGTCCACCGCCTGTCTTTGTGAACGAACAGCCACGCCTCTCCATTGGCATATTGCCCATGGCTACTTTCACACGACCACGACAGAACCGAATCCTTGCAACTCAGAATGTGACTCTTGAAGCCTAAACTCCATCCCTTTACAGAAAAAGTTTGCCAACCCCTGATGTAGACTTTCCCTGGAAAAACACACAAGGGATTGCTCTCAGTGATTACCTCTGTTGAGCGGACCTGGGAGGACAGATCTGAGGGCACCCTTCTCCCCCCTTTGGTGCCTTGGGATTCCCCCACGAATATATATTACTGCGAGGAGACGAGGGGCTGAGGGAAACGAAGAGCCGCCAGGGTGACTGAGGACCAGTGTTGTCTGTGCTGGCATCATTTCACACTTCCTGTCTACTTCTTTCAAAGGAAATGAACCAAATCCAGACTATACTTCTGGCAGGAGCAGAGAATTGCTGCCTAAGGCCAAGTGACAAAAAGTAGAGGGAGAGAAAGCCATTCACATGGTTGTATTTGGAGTGAAAAGCATCTCACATTTGTCCTGTCTTACACGAATGAACAGTGAGGAACTCTGAATATATGACAAATAGCTTTCAAGCACAAAAGGTAAAAGGTAAATATATATATATATATATTCTTCCACTTCTCTCTTCCACTCAGACTCTGTCCTAAAATGCTTGGAGGTTTTCAAACAGCCTCAGTGCTCAATGTTCAGCTGTTTAAAAATACACTTATCTTAAAAATAATTTATCAACTAGGAAAGGCTCAAAAAGGAATCTAGGTCAGTGTATTTGAGACAGGGATGTTTTTTAAAACCTCATTTAAAATTAAAAAAAAAAAAAGACAGAGAGAGAGAGAGTCATATCTCCACCCTCAAGAAAAATGTACTAAAACCAAACATCCTACATTTATTCATTTAATCCTATGGCACTTCATCTTCAGTGACTCTAATATCTAACATTTAAATCATGTGTTTGGAATTTGTGAGGCAACTGTTTGAAGGCCAAGAATTTGTGCTCTGATGCAGGTGTGCAAACCCCAATTTATCTGTCCCTTGAATATTTAATTTCTGCATGTAGCTATTTAGTAAGTCTGTCCTTAAAACTTTTCCTGAAGTGTCTGAGACATTTTAATGGCTTCACCATAAAGCTCTAGTTACCTCTCACTAAAATGACAACCCAGTTGCTTCCTAAAGATCTTCATAAGAGTAGGAACTAGGTAGAGAGTCTGAAACATACCCTCAATCCACACATGCTCAAACATCAAGGGACAGGCAAAAAGTTCTTCTGCATTGTTTTATGTTTAGCCAGGGCCACACAAAAGCTAAAGAGGTAAAACTTCCATACACGTTCTGAGGATTGCCACTAGCAAATTTGGGAAAGAATCCTTCCCCTGGCTCCATAGTGGGTTCCAGGAGACTGGATTTTAGCCTTCTCTCCCTGTCAGCAGAGCTCTTTTGCTGCATGAACAACTGATATAACCATACAGGGCAGCTCCAAGCTCCTCAACATGAGGGTATAACAGTACTTCCACGTCTAGGCTCTCACCCTGCCCTGGGCCTTCTGCATGCATTTTTAGTAACAAAAGGGAAGACAGGATCATGTCAAATAGTCTCACAATCAAACTGGGGGCTCATTCAGATGCTAGTGCCATGAATCAGCCCAAGAGAGTAAAAGAGTGCCCTAAGAAATATAGTGGTTCCCTCCCATGCCTCCCCAAGGATGTCACCTTGGGGCTCACCGTGGTAATTCCAGCCACATGATCCAGGAGGGGGACCAGTCTCTGGCTGGGGCCATGTTGTGGTTGGAGTCCAGGGCTGCTGGGCTGCTGCAGGCTTCCTGAGGCTCGTGTTCTTCGACTTCCAAAGCTTTCAGAACCACCAGGGAGGATGTGCTTTTCAATAATGCCACTGCCTCGCTCCGGTTGACCTCTGTTAGTTCAATCCCGTTCACATTTAACAAAATGTCACCTAATGGCCAGAGAAGCAGAAGCCATCTTTAGTGAGAGTGCAAAGGGGAAGTTCTGTAAAAGTGCCAAAGGGGCAGGGACTGAGTGGGATGCGGGGGAGCGAGCAAGCTGAAGGGGGCATGTCATTAGCCTCCTGCACTGACCTGAGGCTGAGTTCTCGAATAGCAAGTGGTTAGTGTGTGCACGTTTCAAGGCATTGGCAAATCATGCTTGCAGGTTTCTAAAGCATACCCATTAGTGTTTGGCTCTTGCTTAAAAAAAGGGGTGGGGGGAGAAGGAAGATAAACTAGCTTCGTTTACTATTTAGTCAAAGATCATCTACTTCTTTACTTCTTGTTTCTTGTTTTTACCACAAAGGGAGAGCATTTGGCAAAACTCTGAGTGCTTGCATGGAGCCTGGCATGTGGTAGGCACCCAATAAATAGGGATTACATGAGTGAATAAGAGACTACCCCTGAAAGGGCCTGGCAGAGGGGTCTATAGCAGTGAAGAAGAAGGAGCTGGAACTACGCCCTTGAACAGGGGAAAAAGGAGTTAACATTATTGTGATTTGCTGCAAAGGGGACACTCCTACCGTTGGGCAGGCACCTCATATGTGCAGGGCCACTTCCATCCACCATCCCGCACAAGCCTCTGCTCACATTCTCTCGCTAACAGGTCACTTCTTGGTGAACCTCATCATTCAACACCCAGGTGCTTGGGTGCAAAGGAAGAGCAAGAAAACTAAAGCACATTCCTCTCCTACCTCCGGTTTGTATTCTTTTATCTCTCTCCTGATCTTCTGCTTCCTTTGAATATCATCTTTTTCACACAGAATAACCACAGCAAGAGTAAAAAAGATAGGAAGAGACAGATGGCAAAGGCCTGGAGTCCTGCCCGACCTCAAAACATGCTCTGTTAGGTTGGCCGAAGAAATCCCTACCATGCCACCCACTGCCCTGTGGCTCCTCGGGCTGAGCGACGGTGCTTCAGAAACTTCGTGCATCTGAACCCTTACTTGACATAGTTGCTCAACCATCTGAGCTACCTCAATTGGCAATATTATTAAGGATACATATGTGACACCCCTTTCCTTCACTGAAAGTAGCCTAGGACACATAAGACTAAAAGACGGTGACATTTCCACCCGTGGAAAAGAACCTAGCATGATACTTTCACTTAATACTCGTTGACTCAAAACTCTATGAAAGTATTTCATCCACCCAACCCACAAAATGGAGCAATTCATGAATAGGCTCACCACACGATCAACCCAGCAAAGAATCACTTAGAACAAATGGAACCAAGTTACGCTATTTAGTTGAGCCACTCGCTCATAACTGTAGAAGCTCCCCATTACTTCCCGGCATACTTTGCAGGTACTTGCTTTCTTAGCAAGCCAAGCGGCCCACGTCAACCCACAAGAACTTCAAGGGGTGAAACACCCAATCCAGCAACTATACTTAAGCCGGTCACAGTCAGTGTGTGACAGAGGTCCTGGGCAGCTCAGCATCTCATGCTCTCATCAGTTCGGGAAGCAGTTACCCAACCCAGCAAGCTGCGAGTTCACGGTAACACTCCACTGGCCCAGTACCTTGTCTTTTTACCTGTTTTTATTCTTCCATCTCTGCTGATGACTCCCCCGGGCTCCACGCTGATGACGTAGATGGGCAAATCCCACTCCCGATGTGATGCTCCACCGGCAACGGTCATGCCGAGAGACTCGCTGGGGTCTTTTCGGACACTTACCACCTTCTCACGGCAAGTGGCCACAGGATGGAGGGGCTAAAGGCACAGACAGGAAAACAAGTGTGGCACACCTGTTCACAGGGGGGCTTGCATTTCCTCCGCATAAAAAACCCCTACCCAATTGGATAAATATATGACAGTCGTCCTTGGTCTCATAGAGAAAGACACGTGCAGAGGGAACCCTCGCTTTGCCTGTCACCCTCAGCAGAGCAGCGTTATCCCAAATCCCCTAGGCTGATTCAGAGAAAGTTTACATTTCAAATGGGAATGGAAAAAAAACGGAAGAAGAGCAGGGTGGAGACCACTGGAGAAATAGCTCACAAAGTGAATCACACCCCCAAGTTTTCAAGTGACTATTCCTGATAGTCATATTTCATAAAGCTCCTGCCATTCATGAGTATCAGGAGTTTTCTTCTAAGTTAAAAAAAAAAGGAATTGTATTTTAATTAAATGACCTCTGTTTAATTTAGGTAGGGAGTCAATTCTAGAACTCCATAGTTAGAATCATGGATTTCATAGAAACTCACTACTAACTGGGTTCTCTCCAATTAGCATCTTCAGTCTTTCAAAATAATATGTAGTTCTACCCTTCAATTTTATGATGTAAAAACATAGTATAGGGATCCCTGGGTGGCGCAGCGGTTTAGCGCCTGCCTTTGGCCCAGGGCGCGATCCTGGAGACCCGGGATCGAATCCCACGTCGGCCTCCCGGCATGGAGCCTGCTTCTCCCTCTGCCTGTGTCTCTGCCTCTCTCTCTCTCTCTCTCTCTGTGACTATCGTAAATAAATAAAAATTAAAAAAAAACATAGTATATACATTGTGTAGCATACATTGAGGACTGACTTTTGAAAAGCAAATTAAGAGAACTGTGATTTTGGTTCAGCAACCCTAGGTTGAAAACAATCAAAGCTACATGCAGTGTTTTCTTGAAGCAAAAAGAGTCAAGGGCACTGTTTGTCAGTGAATTTATATCAACATATAATTATCTAAAAATGTATTCTCCTCCATGTGTAATGACCTAGGGGACTATGTGGGAATGTGCGTTGCAAATAAATGTCACCCTCTGATCTGACCTCAGAGAAGTCTAGGGCTCGGAACACAACTTACAGTTTTATCTACGGAAATAAAATTCAAAAACTCATCTGGTTAAAAAAAATTAGGGTACAAAAGAAGGTGTAATTATACTAACTTTTGTGTAGAAAGAGGGAGGAGAGAGAATTTGTATTGATATTTACATTTTCATGAAGACGCTCTGGAAACAAGAAAGTGGTTTTATGGGCGTGGAGGTGGGAACCAGACAGATGGGGCCTGGGTAAGAGGCTCCTTCCGCATGTTTTTTTTTTTTTTTGAACCCTGTGAATATATTATCTATTCAACAAATCAAGCGAATGATAAACTTCTGCTAAGTTGATGGTTAGCATCATATAGAACTATTGCTTGCATTAACAAGAGTTCATTTTTACCACTTCATTATGAAGATAAGCCTAAGCTTTTTGTACATTTATTATCTCATGACTTTTTATAGTATAAAATTACCCATGTCTGTTTTAATGGCCCCATTGTATCCAGTAATAGCCTGTTACTATATCCCTAGTATTGCACATAGCATTTAGCACATTAAAGATGGTAACTATGTTTGGGAAATAAATGTATGGATAAATTACAAGGTGCCACAAATTGTTTTTGGTAGCCATGGAATACTAAATCCGGAATCACAAATTATTATGGGAAGTTATATGTTACAATTAGTATTTGTAAGGTCTGGATTATATGTTTCTATAAACCTCAGAACCTTGAAGAGATTGGTTACCTGAAATGAGTTGTAAAACTAAAATGGGATCTTCTTCAGGGCCAAGTTTCAAAATAAGACAAATAAGTAACAGTATGAATACAGTGGTCCCAGCACTCCTGAGTAGTTCTGGAGACGCTCTCCAGATCCCTTCTCAGTTCATGACTTTTCTCCTCCACAAAGCAGTGAGATTCAGGACGTCTCTGCCTTTGAATACAGACCTCTCAGAAGAGCCCTACTTGGAGATGCAGGCTGTTCTGAGACGCCCCCAACCCAGGGCAAAGTTCTAGACCTAGAGACTCTTACTGGCTGCTCTGTTGCTTCCGCTCATTCCTGGGGATATTCATAAAGCATTTACTCCTGATCCTCACAAAGAAGGGCTTTCCTCCATTATTTCCATATGGAAGCCAGGGATATTGTCAGGGTAGCAGATCAATCTCCCGAGGTGATATCTAAAACACAGTATTGAATGCTCTGGAAAACAGAGACATCTTTTCACATTGAAAAATATGTGTGTACACACACACACACACACACATACACACACGCTCTTTTGCATTCTTGAACGGCTGCCTAGTACTTCATCATGTGGATATGTCATATCCCCCCATTGATGACCATTTTGGTTGTTTATAAGTCTCTTGCAAAATTAAACAGTGTCACTGCGAACATCCTTAGACACACATATCTTGTGCACTTGTGTAAATATTTCTTTAGGCTAATATCCTAAGAGTACAACTGCTAAATCAAAGAACCTGCATATTTTACATTTTGATACGTATGAAACAGTTTGATCACCTATAATCTCACCAATACATTGTGAAAATGATGATTTCCCACAATTCTGCCAATATTGGGCTTTATCAATATTTTACAATGTTTGCCCAGAAAAAAAGGAGATCCCAATAATTTAACTGCCTTTTTAGGTAGCAAGTTTAAACCTATTTTATTGTTATTTGGGTTTCTAATAGTAATATCCTTTGAGATCTTGTAATACTGTCATCACTCAGAGCACCCCCAACCTCATTTATGAAGTGGGGAAGAAGGCCCATATAGGGCACACCTGTGACTGAAAGGGACACCTTTGATCTGAGAATACTTAGTTTTAAAAAATGTGTCCCTAAGTTCATTTGGAAAGTAGCAAAATTATCTATCTTATAAGATATTTCAGAAATGGCTTCGTGCCTGCCACACCAGTGAATAGAAATAAGTGAGGCTCTAATTGCTCTGTTGTGAATAAATATTCCTTGAATAATGTGCAGATTGGCCAGATACTCTTTGAGGAAAAGAAATATTATTTTTTTTATCTACTTAAAGGTATCCAGGCAGAAAAACTGAAACTCAACATTAAAACAAATCTGATCAGTGAAGCACAGCTGGTGGGGGGTTGGGGATGGGGTTGGGAACTGAAACCCAAGATATCTGACTAATTCCACACTCTTGCCCACTACACTACTCTGCTTTCAGAGGTCATGTTTTAGCACATGATAAAAATTAACCTATCAATTTTCAGATAACTGTCAGAAAAACACATGAAAGAATCAGTTACCCAATTTTTCCAGGAACAGTTTATCTCATTGACTAGAAAACTCAATTCAAACCCAAGTCTGTCAAATAAAATACATGACAAATAAGATTTGGATGCTGAAACCTACGTTTTCCTGGCTGCAGAGATAGGTTATTTATGCTTTTAGATACGAGTTCCTGAAGGGCAGAGTTTTCTTCCACATTTGTTCAGCGCTAACCCAACAGCCTTGCTGTACGGAGCAAGGTAAGGCTTCAAACACCTCTGGGCTCCACATAAGCGACTGGGTTACCCCAAACAGGAGGTGCGTCCTTTCTCTCGTGTTTCTGACAGCCATCTGCCTTCCCCCCTGACCCCCAGAGAAAGAGATCCACGTTAGCAATGGAAAACCCAAGTACCGCCATGAACCCTTCACATCCAGAGTGGCCTGACTCTGGGTGGGGAGAAAGAGAGTTAAATATGAGAGAGATCTTCTTTCCATCTGCGTTCTCTCCCAATGCTCCTTCCCTACTTTGGAGAGAGACCTCAGAATGTTCCCTAACATGGGATATAAGAAATAGTGAAAGGGACCATAACAGAAAGGAGGGAAACTGAGTGGCAAAAAATTACAGAATGAGACAAACCATGAGAGACTCCCAACTCTGGGAATCAAAGGGTTCCGGAAGATGAGGAGATTGGGAGGATGGAATGACTGGGTGATGGGCACTAAGCAGGGCACTTGATGGGATGAACACTGGGTGTTTTACTATATGCTGGCAAATTGAATTTAAGTAATAAATAAATAAATAAATAAATAGCCCCCACAATTTAGTATGAACTAAATCAAGCTGATTAAAAAACATTATGGGCACAGATCTACTTATTACTAAGTTGTAAGAAATACTTCATAGAATATTGGGATTTCTAAAATAAAACATTTTAGATTTATTAAAAAAAAAGTATGAAGATGAACATAACGACCTACCCATGTACCTTACAACCCAGCATCAGCGATACATGTTCCAGTACAGTTGAAGTCCCTCTGTGATTTCTCTCTGGTCACTTTCCCTTTCCTCCCACAGAGGTAGCCACAAGCCCACATTTGATGCCTAATTTGTCTTTAGTATTTCAGTTGGCTACAAGCTTTTCTGTGTCACAAGTGTAGGTTTGCCTTCTTTGGCATTTCACTGACTCATTTAAGCTCCTACTTCCAGAAAGCCATGTTGTTTCCTAGGTAGAACAAGGCTTAGTAGGATCATAAAAAACTAAATCATCAAAGAGCCAGATAGGTCTTAGTTTTATTGTAAATAGGCCACGTGTGTATGTGTGTGTTTGAGGGCACCTCAGAAGGCAGACAGACTATTTTAACTTAAAATGAAAATATTACAATTTCCCACTAGGCCAGTTTGGTTCTGTATGTTTTCCAGGAATTAGATATGTGATAGAGATTGCAGCAAAAATTTGAACAGCTCATCCTGGCTGTTTCCATGATTCATGGTGGTTAGATGGAAGGGATTATAGACCACAGTGCTGGTGGAAGCCTCATGCTTAGTGGTTTAATGAGCTAGAACACCATATGGTCTAGTTGATCCAACTATAATTAATTAGATGAATTAGATGAATTAGATTAAGCTAATAAACTAGTTTTCCATTAATAAATACCATTAGTTTAATTTAAATACACTAATGATATTTACTAGCAAAAGACATCCGGGAGTCCTCATCCATAAAATGTTTCAGCAGGAGTTACCTGGTCTGTCTAGATTGCTTACTGTAAATAAGCTTGGAATTTATGGATTTATGGGACATGGCTGGCTAGCTGGCTGGAAAAAAGGGTAGAGCTGTGGCCTTGTAGGCTGTGTAATTAACAGCATGTTTCAAAAATCAAGATTTTGAGTTATTGTTTCTGTATACATTACTCAAAAACCCAAAACCTGTGAGTTATTCCTAATTGAAACATAGCCCAATAGGTTCTGATTGCCATGATAGACATTTCCCTAATCTCTGTTCCAAGAAGAATGGGCTACCTATCGATTTGTTTTTTTAGTTACAAGTGATTTAATGTAATCAGATCTTAGGAAAAGTGGCTAGAAACTCATTGCCATCACAATGCATGCCAAGCCAAGCCTACAGGACTCTGAATTCAGACTAAGTGAGGTTTGTGTTGCTTTAGAGACCCATCCAATGGAGAGGTTATAGCATTAGCTTCCTGATTTGTCCCATTTCCCACCACTTCCTAACGTTATATGTACTTCAAGTGTTTATATTCAAGTGTTTATATTATCTTCCTGGGTTCTTCTGCAAAAACAAACATACTAAAATTAGCAGAATTATTTTAATAATTTATATTAAATATATAACATACTATATGATATATAATTATATTAAATTTAATTTTTAATAAGATACTTCAATTTTCAAGCGGACTGGGAACTTCAAAAATAAAAAAAACCCAAGTCAATCTCGTTTCATTTCAAAGTGAGTAAAAACGGTCCTTAAGCAAAAGGACTATTGGAAAAACATGACATCTATTTGGCTTACACTTGAAATTATGTTCCCATACAAAGTCTGCAAGATCAGGTTTCAAAACTCTCCTGCACCTTCTTCCCTCTTGCTTGGATGGGAGACACCTGCTATCTCATCAGGTCTTGAAGATGGGACTTTGGGCTTTTTGTTTTACAAGACAAGTCAAACAATATTCAAGTGATGAAGTCCAGAAATGATGCTTAGAAATGTTAAAGTGTGCAGCCTTCCCCAGAAACAGCTTCCTGCAGGAGAAGCAGACATACCCTGGCTGGGGCTCACCTTGGGAGTGCTGCTCCTGTCCCCCGGCCCTGGGGATTGGCTGCCGTCGCTGTTCCAGCCAGCTTCCTGAAAGATGTCAGGACTCTGCAGACGCACCTGGCGGGACACGACGAGGTGAACACGCCTTTCACTGGCCTGGGTGAGAAGACACAGATATTAGCCACTCTCAGAGCTTCCATCCAAAGGGTCCAGCACCAGGGGCTTATCAAGATGTGAGTTTTATTCTACCCTTTTTATGAAAAAAAAAAAAAGGTATCTACCATTTCTCATGACAATGCCCATTTTGTAATTTGACAAGAACGTGAGAATTATTTCCTTTATCTTAAATCAGGAAATGACACCTGCTTCAAGGGAAAAACTAGGGAAGGTTTGACTGATGCAACAGTTTTTGAAAAGACATCATCAAACATCGTTTTTTTTTTTTAAGGGATGGCTCCATTGCATATAAGCCACATCTGAAGGACTTTTCAGATTGAACAGAGTATACAGTGTAAAGTAGTAGCCCAGTCTAAAACTCAGACTGAAGGTAAATAGTATAGAAAAAGGAATAGAGTTGGTGGCAGCAGCACTACCACTATAGGAGGAGAAATCCTGCATCTACGGTGCTAAACATGTAGTAGACATAGGAAAGGATGAACACTTTAGAAATACAGGGATGACTTAATAGGTTCAAATACAGCCTCTTCAAGGGCCTTTGCCTTGATCCTTTATTTTTTTACGGGACTATCATTAATTCTGACTACTATTCCTCTGTGCTATGTACATTGATGCTTGCACAGAACATTCCAAATAGCAGATATATTGCTTACTGCGGAGGTCCATTATTCCTCACCATAAATTTACAAACTGGCTTCCTGCCACAGATGAATTTCACGTCTGTTTGAGAACATTACTCATTTTTCCAGAACTGCTGACTACTGAGCATCCAGATCCTCAAGGCAGACAGAAGAGATCTTAGCCCTGTGAAATGTACGTCAACAAAGCACCCCGATGGCCCAGAGTTGATTAGAAAGGTCCCCAAGAAAGACTACATTTGAGGACAAGGTGGAGAAGAGCAAAGTAAGTTTTTGCGGTCCCTCTCTTCATCCCATCCCCTGACCGCCTACCACAGCGCAGAGATAGACATTGGCTGGCCTGCCTTCTTCCTTTACAGGTATGGCAATCACACCATGGGAAAATTAGGCCATGAAGGAGGACCATGTTTTTAAAACCTAAAGCAACCAGAACCCCATTGATGAAATCAGATTCCCAGGATTGTCCAACAATTAGCCAGCCCAATCCTTTGTGATTTTGCATCCTTATATTAATGAACATTTCTTCTCAGAGTTTTCTTGAAACTTAGGCGTCATCCTCTAGGTAACTGTAAATCAGATGAAAATTTAAAAACCATCTCTCAAGCACATTAAGAGTGTCGGTCAATGATGGGCCATTCAAGTTGATTCGCCCTGCAACTCTGTCATTACAAAAATCCTACCTAACAGGCCCCGAAAAGCACGTTCAAGTCTTTCACTCACGTTCTTTCACATAAAGCCCCGTCATCCCTTTGGCTGGTCTACGCAATCATCATTTACATACCTCTCCTCTGTTCATTTGCCTATCTTGAATTCCTTGTTGGTTCTTATCACATATAAAACTTGCATCAGAAGGAAAATAACAAGCTCCGGAAACAACAATGAAGCAAGCTGACATGAAGAACTATGAGATTGGCCAACTAAACTCAATTCTTAGAAGAGTATTTTGTAATAGTGTTTCTTTCTTTATACTGTAAGCCTCGCTTATCCCGAGGAGGTTATCTCTAGGAACTTTCTGAAGCAAAAATGACTAAGAGATAAGTGGCAAACACTCCAGTCAAAACTCCAACTGCCATGCCCAGAGTTGCTCCTTATCTTCAGGGAAACTCCGATGTTGTGAAGGATCTCAGTGGGGGATTTGTCTTTGGCCTGCACGTGGTATCATGTTCGCTTGGCCCATGAGCAATTACATGACCTAGGCATCTCGGAAGAGTTGAGAAAATCTGAGACTTCTATATCGAATCAACTTGCCAGGAGAAATTCAAACTGCCAAGGAGCAGCCTGCAAGAACCGTTTAATTCACATTTTCAAACCCAAATTTCTGACCGGGGTTTCAAATGCCGACTTTGGTAGTAAGTTGCTGGCAGAAACAACACTCCAATGAGTAACCCGGGTATCAATTTTCTTGGACATACGTTCTCTGCAAGGCTGGATCTGTGGCCCTTACCAGCCACCTTACAAATTGCTCTCGGGGAGATGGTGCTGGATTTGCTTTCTTTCCCAGTGTTTGAAGCTGTAAGGTGGAAAATAGGCTAATGTGTTTGTACTGGCTCTAGCCCTCAGGAGCAGCTGGATTCAGTGTCGAGAAACAGCTCTTAGAACCAGTGAGTCTTTCTTTCTGTGGGTGTGAGCCTGGTGTGAAGGTGAAGCGTGAGCAGGGGGTGAGGGGGAGACGGAACAGCAGAAATTTTTTATTGCGAGCCCGCATCACATGTGCCAGAAAGCTGGCGCAGCAGATCTGTCGCTTTCAATACCATGCTCAGAGGAAGAGCATGCTAGCAGGCAGGTGTAGGATAGCCTCTCGCGTGCATCTCTTGGAGAGTTGCAATTTGGGCCAAAGCAGTGTTTAACTCCTAAGATTGTGGCTATCTTGAGTAGCAAGCAAGGCCAGAGGACAATCCTTTTCAGGGGAAGTTTCCTCTCTCCTCTCTCCCTTAAACATCCTCAGTTTTGATCCAGAAAGACTCTGGACGTGGTGGTTACAAGTTGCATAGTCTCACTGCTTATACCTATTCTTTCTCTTCATAGAGCCCACTCATTAAACTCCCTCTCTCCTTTCTGTGGGTTAAGGGAAGCATTACCGACAGCCTTCTCCCCCGGGGACCTTAGCTTGTTGGCAGTCGTTCTGTCTCTGTGGGTGACATGTGCCAGGCACTTCACGACGAGCCTTGGGGACATGGCTCCTGTCCCCTTATGGGACCATTAGGAGCAGGTGCCAGGAAAGAGATATGGGTTCCACACATAAGAGTCTCTAAGGGTGGGACTAATTACTTCCAGCAAAAGGAATAAGAAAAAAAATCTAATATTCAGAGAAAACCAAAGAATTAAAATGGAGGAGCATTTATCATGGGAAGGCTTGTCTTCTTGGGTCATGTTTGAAGGATTATTTTCCTTTGCTCTTTTGAGACTTGACTCAAGACTGCCAATAATATTTCCACGACAGGACTAAACAGGGGCCAAAAAAGGGAACCATAGTCTAAAGCAGTCTCATTTAGATGCAGCCTGTTTAAAAATCATAAAATCCCACCTCTTGTAACTGGAAGGAGTTGTCTGAAAGCACCACACTGACATCCTGCAGGGCAGGCATCTTGTAGGGTCATGTTCAGCCTGGAAAGGGCTCTTTTCCCTACAAAAGCCACTGTGGCTGGTAAGAAGTGTTCACCGTGTCAGGATCCAACACAGGTCAGAAACTTCACAGAGCAGAGAAATGGAAAGTCAAAGACGCCACCACACAAAGCAGGAGAGGCATTTTGCAGAGCTCTACATTGGAGCCGAGGGCGTCTTTCTACTATTCCAACACTGCATGGGTCCACGCAATGGCAGAGCCAGCCAGCGACAACTAGGGCAGACCAGGAGTAAATAGGGTACCTGTACTTCAAGGTGTGACCTTCTCACCTAGCCCAGGGCTTCACCTATTCATTGTGAAAGAGGACTGAGTTAAACCAAATGCATTACAGCATTTGCTGCTTAAAAAAAAAAGGAAAAAAAAAAGGACACACACACACACACATACACGAATATGCTTAAATAAAATGGTTTAAAAAAAATAAAATGGTTTTTTAACATTCTAAAGACCCAAAACAGGGAATCTCCAAGCTTTTAGGCATCCAAACGACTGCTCAGAGCATGAGACCATATACACACAACCCTTATAACATTGGTATGGGTCCTCAGGTGACCCATGCTTGACTGGGAGCCCTCGTTACAGAGACAACTGAGAGCTACAGTTGCATTTATAATAAATAAGCTTGTCTCAAATTAGTGTTCCACCAAGAAAGGTTTTCATGAACATTGCTTTAAAAATAATTCAGCCTGGATCTGCATTCCCCACTAGTTTATTTTCCCAGGATCCCAGAGTGAGATAGTCTAGCTTTAGTGTTCAGTGTATAGTTGTAGGGATGGTTTTTTTCCATGCTGTTTGGGGTTGCCCCATCTTAGCTTCCCTTCCACCAACTGCTCATATAGCCTTGCCAGTTCATCTATCTTGTGTTCACAGTGCCCTGGGGAAATTGTGAAGCACTGGTTTCCACATCATTGAAAAGTCACCTATATGGAAGAGAGGTCAGACATCATCTAATCCATCATTCTCTCTGTAACCCAGGTTTCAGTTCCCCCTACAAAATCCTTGCCATGTTGTCTCCCAGCTCACGGCCCAGTGCCTCCAACAACCATGAGCTCACTGTGTCCCATGCAGCATGGGCCATTCTTGGCGCTAATTAGAAAGTTTATCCTTAGGCTGAATTAAATGTGCCATTTTCTTGCTTGCCCATCGGCTCCACTCACGCTCTCCTGGGCAGCCGAAAGTCAATTTCCATGTGACAATCTTATTTGAAGATAGGGGTTTACTGTTCTCCCTCAGCTCTTCTCCTTTCCAGGTCAAATATTTCTACTTTCTTAAATATTTCATATGTTTTCTTTCTTTTTTAAAAATATATTTTATTTATGTATTTGACAGGGAGAGAGAGAGAAGAGAGAGAGAGAGCATGATCACAAGCAGGGGGAGCATCAGACAGAGGGAGAAGCAGGCTCCCAGTTGAGCAGGGGGTCCAACACGGGACTTGATCCCGGAACCCTGGGATTATGACCTGAGCCAAAGGCTGATGCTTAACTGACTCAACCACCCAACCGCCCTAATATTTCATGTTTTCAAGTGATCTCAAGAGCTCGATGAACTCTGGACTCACTCTAATAGAGTTGAGCAGGTGTGTGTGTGTGTGTGTGTGTGTGTGTGTATAGATTCGGATCCAGAAGACCCAATACAGAGTAGTATTTTCGCTGATGGACCAGCTGTACCCAGGACCTCAGGGACGGAGTTTCCGTTTTGCCATGTCTTGTGTGCCTAGG